GACCTCAGGAGCTGGAAGCTGTTTATACCATGTCCAGTTCTGGTTATTGTGGCCTGCTGGGTCTCGTACTGCAGGTAGGGTAGTTAGCTCTAGAATTGCACTGGCTTCAGGCTGTAAAGGCAGCTGTGGCTACCCGCTGAACTGGAAGCAGTATAGGGGCATTTACATGGCACCATATCTGGGCCAGTTAACTAGAACTGATTTGCTTAGGTGTTAACACTGCTATCCTGCATGTAGTTCAAGAACTGCCTCAGGCTACCCCCATCCTGCTGTCAAGTGGGCACAGAGCCCCAAATCAGGCAGCATAGCTGTTGCATTCGGTTGCTACAGGAACGTTTGAGAAACTTGCAGTGGCCAATATGGGACCAAGCTTTCAAATTTGGGACAAAAATCCAGTTTTTCAAAGGGATGCTGGGATACAGACTCAAACTCAGGATAATTGGTCACTTTACCTGTTAGTTTCCTCCTGGGTGAAGGCTATAACCACAAGGCTGTAAAGTCAATTCCATTCCAAATGAAACATCTTTAAAAGGAAAGATTGAGAGTCATACCCCTGAGTCTGCTGGTGTGGGCTCCCACCTAGGGTATGGGAGATGCAGGTCCAATCCTCTCAGGCAGCAGAGGGAAGTTGGGGATGTGGATTTCATGACTGAACAGGATAATTAAAGACAATGAAATACAGATCAGCCAAAGTCCTTCTGTGCACATAGCTCCAATTCTCTTAGGGCTTCAGTTATACTACAGAAAAATAAAAGTACATGATTCTTTTGCAGGAGTGTTGGGGAGATAAATATATTCACTTTTATGGGATGCTCAGCTCTGATAGTTATGGAGGGCACATGAGTCTTGGAGTTGTACAAAGGAGGTGCTCTGTATTCATTATGACTAAGTAATAACACTACATAACAAAGGAAAAAAATAAGTATCTCCACTTTCTGGTTAAAACTTAGAAGAAAGGAAAATCAAAACCCAGTAAAACAAACAACAAAACCATGGTGTCTCTTAGGAGTTTCCTGCCAGCAGAGGGAATTTGCTGTTTTACCTTCTATTCTCGGTCCTCACTTTTCTAGTGTTGAACACCATGTTAATCTACAGCTTCCAAAGGAAATCAGGGTATTACTGAGATAAATACAAAGGATGTTAAATTCTAACAAGAACGGGAAAAGTGGATTGGCGAATTGTCTTGTTTTACGGTCCAACAATAAACTGTAAATAGAACAGAAGGTCTGATCTCAGGAGCATGTTGGGATTACAGAAGCCACAGAAGACAAACTGTGTTTTACCTTGAGTTAGTGATAAACAGAAAATTATTTTTGCCGAGCTGGGTGGCTATATAGGAAGGCAGAACGTTGGCAAGCGACAGGAGAATCAGCCATGTAAACCCAAAACAACTTAAACTTTGATGGCCACAAGCCCAGACTCCTAGCCTAGGAGTAATAGTCAGAATGGATAGAAGCTGGGATCAGGTTTGTGGCTTTCATTGCCCATGCAGGCAGAAAATCAAATGATTGCTGCAGAAGAAGGGTGCTGCAGTCACAAGAGAAAAAAGTACTTTATTTACCCAAACCCAAAATTACTTTGAATTTAAGACAATCCCCCAATAATTAGATTCTATACTTGGAAAATTATAAATTGGTTATAATTGGATTCTGTATATGGACAATTATAAATTTGTTATAAATTTTCCATGTATAGAATCTAATTAGTGAAAAGTCAACTTAAATTTGCTGTCCCTCACCGCTTCCCCACCACTTGCCCCCTGTACTCTCCCCATGCCTTGCTCCTTCCCCTGCTAGCCCCCCTCCCTTACCTTCTGCTGCGGCTCTGCTCCGGACCAGGGCAGTCAGTGGCAGTGGCAGCCACACCTA